AATTGCAAGTTTAAATGTTCAGAAAAACATGTAAAATTGTCAGAAGAAAGGCAATGTGCCATTGATTTCTAAAACAAAATATCGAACTGACTGACGAATTTCAGTTGTTCACAGATCATTAATTGTTTAAAATTAAGTTTCAATATTTTGCCAGACAGTTTTCTCTCATTTCTAGTACCAAAATTACTTTAGCATTTCCATTTCTTACACAATATTTCCTGTGCACTCCATAGATAAGCAGATTTGGTTTATATGGACAAATGGATTAGTATTAAAGACTAGACTAAGACTACTTCCTAATTTCACAGTGAATATAGGAGAAAAACCCAACCAACAACCAATAAACTAAACAACACACATAGTAGCAGCGAGTTTCCTTCATTAACAAAAAAAAATTATTCATAACTGGAGAGGAGATATTAAAAATGTCCTAAGTAAGCCACTTCTCAGGAGTCTATTTCATATAAACAGTATTACTACTGACACAGAGTACTTAGTCTGCAAATATGGCAATCCTTTTAAACAAAAATCTGGGCCTCGGATCATTCTAAGGATCAAATTTAATGCATGTGTAGCTGGGATTTACAAGTGCGTCATTTTGTAATTTCTCTTTGAAGATGAGTCTTACACATCTTAAGTTGCCAAGTTTCACATATTTCACATCTTATGAACTTAGTTTGGTTGGGAAAAAAAAGAATGAAGTAATGCTCTGTGCACTCAAAAGGATTATATTTTGGCATGACTAAAGTGAACAGCAGCTAGCAATCTTCTAAAGCATTTCACACTGAGAAGTTCATCTGACTTCACAAAAATGAACGCATATGCAAAATTCATTGCTATGAGGCCCAGAGAGAACTAGAATCCTTCAACATATAACAGCATAATTCCCTGTAACTTTTAAAAAAATTTGACATGCAGGAGTGCTTCAAATAAATGAGCTTAATATATTGCTAAAGACTAGTAACGCAGCTCCAGAAGTGATCAACATCAGTAGAAGACAAATATACAAATAAGTATATCTTAATTGATCTCTACCCCTCTCAATTGCTAAGTTTCACCATACTCCTAGCATCAGTGACCAAGAGAGTAAAACTGTCATAACACTTGCAGAAAATTTTCTCCAAACTAAGAGATTGTGCTTTGATGTAGGATTCTTTATATATGCCAACTTCACTTGAACTAAGAACCACTTCAAACCAAGCTAAAACTGTAAGGTTACAAAATTCACATCAGTTCCTAGAGTTCAGAAATCCAGCAAGAATTCCTTAGGTGACAACAGGAGAAAAAGAGCTAGGAACTCATTTTGAAATCTATGCCCCACATATTCTCAGAATTACTTTATTTTTTACATATAAAATACGATATTGCTATAAAGAAGTCATAGTCAGTATCACAGCTTTTCACTAAGCATAGTATAAAACAGGACTAACAACTCCCAAGAACCGTGAGATCCAGAGAATAGCAAAAGGACTAGTAATGCTCCACTCCATGGTAGACATGATAATGTCTACTATGTAAATGAAAGCTGCTTGGAAAGTGGAGCATAACTCCATAAGAAGGATGAAGGCAAGAAAAAAAGACAGCTAAGCCAAGTGGTAGAACCTCAGCAATCCTCTTGTCACTCACGGAGAAATGTTGCTGGTCAGTAGACACATCACAGCTGAAGCCTCAGCTCTGCAACTGTTAAGTAAGCAAGCACTTCCTATTTTTAGCAAAAAGGCAAGAAGCTTAAAAAAAAAAAAAAAGCCACCACAAAAGAAACAACAGCAACAAAAACAGCAACCAAAAATAACACTACAAAAAACCTGACAGCTGGTTTCTTCAACATAGCAAAGTTTCAGAAAACCACAGACTCATAGAATATCCTGAATTGGAAGGGATTCACAAGGATCATGGAAGTCCAACTCGTGGCCCTGCACAGGACAGTCCCAAGAATCACACCATGGCCCTGAACACATTGTCCAAATGCTTCTTGAACTCTGTCAGGCTTGGTGCTGTGACCGCTTCTTTGGGGAGCCTGCTCAAGAACAGATGTGGATGTTTAGGATTGTGCAGAGACAGTGTTGATGGAAGCGTTCTAGGAGACGCAGGTGGTGGCGGTAGATGACCCATGATTGGGAACCATACAAGAGAGTAGACAGCACTGTGGCTCTGTAAACACTGATCTTGGTACTTTTCTTCAAGTGTTTATTACACCATACTCTTTTATGGAGTTTTCCAAAAGCACTATATGCCTTTGCCAACCTGTTGTCTATCTCCCCGTCAATCTTACCGTCCAAGGAGATGAGGCTACCGAGGTAATTAAACTGCTGGACTGATTTGAGCTCTGATTGGCCAATGGTGATGTGGGGATGATGGGGGACTTCCTGAGGTGCAGGTTGATAGAGACTTCTGTCTTCTTTAAGCTGACTTCCAGCCCAAAGAGCTCAGCAGCATCTGCAAAGCAGGATGTTAAACACTGCAGAGCTGCTTCTGTGTGGGCAACAAGGGCGGCGTCATCAGCATAGAGCAGCTCCCGGACAAGATGGTTTAAGGTCTTGGTGTGGGCCTTCAGTCGCCTTAGGTTGAATAGACTTCCATCAGTACGGTATCGAATGTAGATACCGTCCTGATCATCGAGGTCTGCCGTGGCCCTTTGGAGCATCACACTAAAAAAGACTGTGAATAAGGTAGGAGCGAGAACGCAGCCTCGTTTCACACCATTCTTAATTGAAAAGGGCTCAGAAAGTGTGTTGCCATATCTGACTTGGCCGTGCTGATCCTCATGGAGTGAGATGATCATTTTAAGGAACTTGGGGGGACAACCTAAACATTCCAAAATCTGCCACAGACCTTTTCTGCTCACAGTATCAAAAGCCTTGGTGAGGTTGACAAAGGTTACATAAAGACCTTTGTTCTGTTCCCTACAGAACAGAACAGTTGTCTGAGAACAAATCCCCTGTCTGTGGTACTATTGGCTCTGAAACCACACTGACTTTCAGGTAGGATCCCTTCTGCTATAGTGGGTATTAGTCTGTTCAAGAGTATTCTTGCCAGGATTTTGCCAGCAATGGAGAGCAGAGTAATACCACGGTAGTTTGAGCAGTCAGATTTAATACCTTTCTTCTTATACAGAGTGATGATGACTGCATCTCGAAGGTCTGATGGTTGTTCACCGAGTTCCCAACAGCGCACCACAAACTCGTGAAATTATTTTTGCATATAATAACTTTTTAATATCATGTTTTATAGAGCAAATGTAAAGTAATTAGCATTTTCACCACAGGTGACAACATATACCAAGTACTGTACTTTGATTTCCTCTGTTGAGATCCACTACATAGCTCAATAGTGAGCCATATGCAAGAAATCATAATTAAGTGTATTACAAATATGTAACATTACAAGTCTTTAGCAGTCTGATCACAAGATTTTAGTTTCAAGGTTATTTACTATATTTATACAATAAATCAGCAGGGTTTCATTTAATTGCAAATATATTCTCATACCCTCAATTGAACCATGGATCTTTATGAAGTTCTTCCATAGCATTACTGCAGTTGTGTAAGTTACATAGTCTAAAGTATAAAATAAAGACTCAGATGGGACTATCACCTACCACACAACATGCTTTTAAAGACTTCAACAAAATGAGCTGACATTTTATCCTCGCATTTTAAAAGGAAGAAATCAGGATGCATTTAAGACAATCTTTTTGACCACTGGGTGCCACTCTCGTTCTGTGTACAATAAACTGCCTGACATTAAGTCACTCTTCTCAGCATTTTAACTTCCTCAGCTTTAAACAACTCTGATTCTCCTAAATTGAGAGGAAAAAATGGAAGAGTTTTTACATAAGTTTCTATTAACCACTACTTTTCAAAAATCTTTACTATTTCTTTTAGCCACAGGAATGCAATTTTGAAAGAAGTATAGTACACACAGACCCTTATGGTATATGGATTTCTTTCATGGTGAGGTTATAGAATAACTCA